ACGAGTCCAGCTCCTCGCGTGGCCATTCCCCGTTGCGTTTGAGTGCATGTGTAATTTACCCAAGAAAAAAAAAAAACAAAATAAAAGGGAAGAAAAAAGAAATCATCACTTCTGTTCGTGGATACCATTTCTTCAGAAATTCATTTTTCGTATTTGTAAATTAATCGAAGATTCGGAAATGGCAGCTATGAAGTTCACAGGTAGTACAATGATGCTCGCTCGCTCGATATTCCGACCCACACTTCATCCCCAAATACCTCTCCGTTTATTCCGGACGAATCTGCCGCCGGTCACCGGTTTTGGTGCTTTCCGGTGCGCGGCGACTAAATCCGGCGGCCAGGAGAAGAAGTCTCCGGCGCGGCTTGCGGAGGTTCAGCGGCTCTTGTATCAGGCCGAGGAGCGCTACAAAGCTGCTGGAGGTGGCGTCGAGCCGATTCCCAAAATAACGCTAGGTAAATTCAATTTATTTTTTAATTTGACGTGTTTAATTATTATTTTTCGATTCGGATTACAGTGGTTTGGACACTAAATGAGTGAATTACTGTGTTGTACTGGATTTTGATTGTTGATGATTGGTAGCATTAAAAGTTCGATTGAGCCACTTTTTATGTGTATACATTATCCAGTTGATTCTTGTAAGACTGATCTTGGTTTCATAAGAGTCGGCCGTCCTTTAATTTCATTACGGTGTGTTAAATAATGTTTGGCTTCTGAAATAATATTTGTAGTGATTTATGAAATAGCCAACATTTTACAGTAGAAGCGAATCGACTCGATTGTTCCTCGTTTAGTCTGCTGTTTTTCTACTGCTCTTTAAGATCCAAACCCTTCATAAATTAAATCGTTGGTTGTTAAAACATCATCGGTTGAGGTGATTAACATCAAGGCCTCGTTTGGTTGGGGAGATTAGCCATGATTAACTTAATAATAAGACTTTGTTTGATGTTTGGTATCTCCATTAACTTGCCGGGTCGACCCGCAAATATTATGTTATCTTGCCTTCTAGGCATGTTTTTTTATTGGATCATCGAAGGTCCAATAATATAATTGGGTTTCATTAGATTATTTAATCTTATCTTGGCAACCAAACGAGGCCTGAGGATACATGTTACATCTTGCCTCCTTGACTTGGTTAATCTGTAATTTTCCTTTCTTCTTGTTGTCATCCCATTTAAAAATTTCTTGAGGAGTGACGGCCTTTTTCTTGCTGGCTTATGATCAATAGTGAAGGGCAATACAATTTATTAATGTATTTCCTGTTCAATTGTATGTGAATACTTTCCCCATAGAAAATCGTGAGACAAAATCTCGGATCTTCGAAGTTTCTCCGCATACATTATTGGACCGTTAGAATGAAGATCGGTCTTCTTATTATTGTATAAACAACTGTTAGCAATTTATAAGTGGATCTTAGGCTCCGCGACTTGGCAATCGTTGACTCCCGCAAAACTCATTATTTATGGAATAATTCATTGGACTGTCGGATTCTTTATGTAATTTATGCGATTCAATTGCAGCTAACTATCTACTGCTTTTATTGTTCTAAAACGTAGATGCTATTTCGCGGTTTTATTCTTGAACTTTTAGTTGATTGGAATGAACAGGCAATATTTTTTTTTCTTTTTAGCTTAGAAAATAAATGAACACAGACCGTTTATCAACTTGTGTTTTGCGTGTGCAGAACATGTTACCATAGGCTATGCAAGGAGTGGTGGGCCCGGGGGCCAGAATGTCAACAAAGGTATGTGGTGCCTCGTTGTGCCCCCTTTTTTTTTTTTCTCCATATTGCCATTTTTGTTTATTTGAGCTTATGTGTTTGACTGTTGATATTTTCTTCATGCAGTAAACACCAAGGTGGACATGCGGTTTAATGTAAAAAATGCCGATTGGTTAAACGAAAGAGTGAGAGAGCGAATCATGCAAATGGTGAGATAATGTTTTCTTAAATATCTATTTTCCTCGCTTATTGTTCGCTCAGGCCGAAACTTGAAACTAAACTCCATCTACTATTTTCCGATGTGGATGGAGTTTTCGGTGACTGTTCACATTTGTTTATTACCCTATTCTGAGTTTAGGATAAGATGGAATTATTAATAAAACCGTCAGAAGGAACTATCATTGATTTGTTACCGACACACACACAAACACACAATTGTATCCAGACAGTATCACACAGCATATACACC